ATAATCATAATAAGAGAATTACAAGTTAAAATCAGGCAGAGATACTGCTCTTCACCTATCTGATAGACATTACTTTAAAACTTTGACAATAAATGGCAAGACTATAGGAAAGAGGTACTTTCGTACATTGTTGGGAATGCAAAATGGCATAACCCCTAAAGAGGGAATTTGGTAATCTCTAACTTTACCCTCTGATCCAACAATTCCATTTCTAGGAATCTATCTCAGAGGTACTCTGGCAAAAAATACAAAATGACTTGTATACTAGGTTATTCATTTGGCATAATTTATAATTACCAAAAACTGCAAACAATTCAAATGCTCATCAATAAGGCACTGGCTGAATAAATTATGGTACCTTAAGAACAGAACACTCTACAGTTACAACAAGGCAGAAGGAAGATCTTTATAAACTGATATGAAACGATCACTAAGATATAATTTTAATATGCTACCTTTTTGTTAAGAATGCACTGGCAAGCGGAGCCTGGAAGCTGGATCCTGGGTGTTTTGGGACATCCTGCCTCAGTCAGATGTTTATTTCTCATGGGCTTGGTTTTGCCCTAAGTGATTGGATAAAAACACAAAGTAATGCTGCTCAGCCTCAATGCATGGAGCCCTGTGAATGGAGCTCTACACTTACCACACGGCTGGCCCTGGTTTGTGACCCTGGGAGGCTGGAGCTTTCCAGTGCTCCCAGGAGAAGGCGTCAGAGAAAGATACCTTGAGTATAACAGAACTGACACCCTTCTCCAGGAAAGATCTTTAAAACTGAGCCAATGGGCTGTTTACTATGTAAGCAAGAGTAGAAGACTGTCTAATGTATAGTGGAATTTTATACAGCATAAATAATAGCTTTGAGAAAAAAGTAATTATATTTATACATATATATAAATATGTATATATATACACACATATATAAATACCAACACACATACATATAACATACATGTATATTTATATGTATATGTATTTGCTTATGCAAAAAGAAGCACTGAAAAAGAACCAGGGATAAAGATGGTTACACTCAGGAGGAATGAGGGCACAGAGTGAAGGACAAGAATGAAAACAAGACTTCTCTGAACACACCTTGATATAT